TCAATTAACTGATGTGCATTGATTTTGCAGGAGGTGTTCACAACGGAGAATATGTGCCCTGGCTGTACTGCTATGACCCTGTGATGGACGTCTGGGCCCGAAAACAGGACATGAACACAAAAAGAGCAATCCACACTTTGGCTGTAATGAATGATCGACTGTATGCAATTGGAGGAAACCATTTGAAAGGTCACATTTTTAATAGCGAAAAAGCATTTCAGTGTCTCACATCTCTGATAAAGAATATTTTTGTTAGACAGTCATTGTTAAATACATTAAAAACCAAGCAACACAATTTAACAGGACACTTGAGCCAGCAATTTTAAAAACATTTTATGCAAATTATTTTAAAATTATAACAGTACATTAAATATATGAGTAATGAATGCTTTAGATAATAAAAATGGGAGCTTCCATTACTCAAAGGCATGGACAATTTGTCATTACCAAGAATTCAATGAAACAAACAGATTATTCTTTGACCCGAAAGTACCAGCAATATTTTCCTCTGTAAATCATTTTCCAAAATGTGCAGTTAAAGAGAGCTTTGTTCAGAGCAACACACAAAACCAGGCTCCACATTTAATGAAGAGAAAAAAAAGAGTAAACTTCCAGCCATTAAATATTAGGACTAGGCTCTTTGGATCCCTTTTCACTATTACATGTAGCTTGTTGATTAGAATTCTTTTTAAAGGTCTCTTGTCTTATATTAAAATAGCTGCTGCTTAGGTATATGGTAGTCTTGTCTTAATACCTATATGTCATTGCTGTTACTGCTAAAGAAATGCCACTCAGACAAAAAGCACAGCTCCCGCTCCCTTGTCCCGTGACAATATTTGACAGTTTATTTAATACTTTTTCTTCTTTCTTCTTTATTTCTTTAAAACAAAAAAAGACAAAAAAGACTCCCAACAACAAAAGAGAAAATCATAATACAAAAGAAAAAGTAATGTTAACTGCTAGTAACACCAGGCCATGTATGACTCTGACACTCGGGTTCCTGTGGGACTGTAAAGCCACGTGCTGCTTTTGGAGATCTGCGTGTCTGTGGAGCTTGCAGGGGACAAAGTCTCAAATGTAAATTTTCCCTGATAAATAGCACTGGTGCATAAACTCCTGCAGCCAGATTTGTGGCTGCTGTGCCTCCTCTCCCCACCCCCAGTTGTGATGGGTGTTTCTGGGCTGGACCTTATAGGTTGAAGGGGGTAAAAGCTGCTTGCACAGGAACAGCTGCGAATTTTGTAGAGGTTATGGAGCACCAGAGTGTTGGCTTTTCCTCCTACAAAAGTAAAACATGTCCCAGCTCTCCTATAGCTAAAGTACATGCTTTGGTTTGCAGAGGCTTGAATTGCTTCCATCCTGCCTCCTCCTTCTTTTCACACAGCTTCACCTACTTAGAATAAATATTGTGGTTTTGCCTCTACAACTGTTGCCCTAGGTGCCTTTGTTATGTATGACCTGCTCACCGTTGTGAGAGGTGTTTAACTTCCAGGCTTCTGGAAAGACATTGCTATCTGGTAGAAGTGCTTTTTGGAAAACTGATTTCTTCTGTACAGTGAAACAAAAGGAAGAACTGCAAGGAAGGAAGGAGGGAGGGGTCTGAAGTGTGAATGAAATGTCACACATTCTCCATCGGCAGCGAATAGCAGGGCTCCATGGGAAAGCCCTCCTTTGTGAAGCTGGATCTGTACAGTAGTGTTAGCAATGCATTTGCCACACCACAGCTAGTCATATGAGCACTGCAGTTTGCTACAGAGCTTTTGACAGATTCTGGGTACTCAGCAATGGCCTTTCTATGGCCCCTTGAAAACTTTAGAGCAACTAAAAATGATTCTGTCATAGCTATTCATTCCTGACATAAATAATACTCTTGCAGGCAACATCATTGTGAAGTGCTGATAGCACCAAATGCCCCTTTGCAGAAAGTCTTACTTTGCTGTCATACCTTGAAGTGAAGACAGTCAAGTAAAAAATCCCAGCATATTAAGAAAGTCATAATTTTACTGCAGTGCTCTGATAAAGAACAGTTGTTTGAGATAGGGAAATGCATAAATATTGGAGCAGGAACCAGGACTCCTGTGTTCTATGTCCGTGTTCAGCTCACTTGATTCATGTTAATTAATACAGCTTGAGAGTCTTGAGCTGAGACCCATCTGCCCTTTGGTGATCACACAGCAGCAGTCGCACAGAGCCTTTTTTTGGCCTGTTGGGGAAGGATGGGACCACCATTTTTGTGGTTACATTTTTTTGTTGCTTTAAAGACTTTATCACAGCTGCATGATTAGGGTACACCTTAAATCAGCTTGAAAATTGAAACTGGTCCTGCACATCATGCCCATATGCTAAGCAATTTGTCCCTCCAGAACCAAGTGGCATCAGTTGTCTAAGGCTTACCTTGACTTGTTAGACATTGATTTCTAAGCAAAAATTAATCTATTGACTCTTGAATAGATAAGATCTGCTGATCTTTGAGAAAGGACAGTCTTTTCATACACTTTTATTTGCACTGATAGATGAGGAGTTATATTCCTTGAGTCTGCTTGCTTCACTGATAAGTTTTTTCTGAGTGTTTTCTGATGTGCTCAGGGTTTGTATGTACTCGTGATTTGTAGAAGATTGTAGAGCTCATGGTGAAAACCTTCCACAGATTTATTTGAATTGAAATGATGAGACGTTGACGTTGCAGAAGTTGGTTTAAATGTATATGGCAGTATTTGATAGAAAAAGTCTAATTATGATAATAGTAATAACTAAGTGTAGTATAATAAATTTAACAGTAAAACAAGTAATAAAACAGTATGTCATAATGCGTGTTCTCTTTTTCAATGCCCTCATCCAGGTTTCTCCCATCTTGATGTAATGCTGGTGGAATGTTACGATCCAAAAGGTGACCAGTGGAATATCCTCCAGACTCCTATTCTGGAGGGTCGTAGTGGCCCTGGCTGCGCAGTCCTTGATGACAGTATTTACCTTGTCGGAGGCTACAGCTGGAGTATGGTGTGTACCTGCTTTATGCAATGACCTTTCTATTCCTTCTGAGTTCTTGTGGTCAGCCCATATAATATTCAGATGGGATGGAGAGGAGATGGGAGGGGAAGTAGCTATAGGAGCAGGTTTTGGTTTGGTTTTCAGTTTGTGGAGAACATGGAGTGTTTTTCCACCTTTGTGCTTTTCCATATAGATAAGTTACTGTTAGACTGTATTCACTGATAGAGAGTAATATAAAAATCAGATGGAATTCTGAATAAGTGATTTGACATGCTTATAGCTCTGCTGATGAGGCACTTGTAAAGGAGACTGAATTGCAGAGTCTGGGTGCTCAGCCCCTAAGAAAACCAAACCACTTAAAGGGCTTCTAAATTACAGCTCAAAACCACGAGTCACTTTCAAACATATTTAGAGCTGCTGTGTGACTTGGATTTTACCAAATGCACGTTTAATATGACATTTTGTTCTACTACAGGGAGCCTACAAATCTTCTACTATTTGCTATAGTCCTGAGAAAGGGAGTTGGACAGAACTAGAAGGAGATGTTGCAGAGCCACTTGCAGGACCTGCCTGTTCAACTGTCGTATTGCCAGCCTGCGTCCCGTACAACAAATGAGAGTCAAGGAGCACTGACATGAACACTGATTGCATTTGGGAAAATAATGACGGGTGACGTAAATATTTTATTAGAACAGAATTCCTGTTAAAACAAAGCTACCATAATTGACCCCTCATGCCATATTTATGCTTTAGGAGCAAACTAAAAGAAAAGAAAAAATAAACGTTGTCCCATCTCAGATAGATGCCGGTGTCTTATGAAGCAAGTAGCTAAAACACACCGAACATTACATGCCAACAGACTACCATTTCAGACTGATTTAAACTTTTCCTGCTGCAGAGATACTCCTCACGTCAAATTTAACTTTAGAAAAAAATGATGGCTAACTGTTCAAATACAGCCTGAAGAGACAAGATCAGTATTGTGCATTGTATCTACCTGCATGTGATCTGTGTTGAAGTCATGAGGATGTTGTTTTCATGAATGCTTCAGAATTCAGATAGTGAAAAGCTCACACTGCATTGCAGAATTGTCTCCTCCTCTGTAATCCTAACCTACAGCTACTTCACATGCTCTGCAAGCAACACAGCATCAGAAGATTATAAAAGGTAAAGAAATATCATTCAGTTTTTGCACAGCTTGGCAACTAATACACTCTGCCTTCAAAGTCCCCATGTGTAAGTGCAGCAGAAAGCAGACTACAATGAAAGCCATGCTTTACAGAGCACTTCTTGCAATAGCAGCTTAGGGATTAGGATCAAATTCTTCTAATCACACTTGTGTAAAGTCAGAGTCATTTCACTGAAATCACACGGAGTGACTGTTTTTGCATTTGTATAACAGAAATTGAGTCCTACACCTTAAAATCTGGGTTTGTAAAGTAAGCTATTTCTATGACCACTTAGCAAAACACCAGACCCCTTACCTACTTTTCACTAACCTTTTAGATAGCAGCATCTGTTCTAGTTGCTTCCAAAGACCAAAAAAAATGGATTTGATTATAAATTTATTACTTTGGACTCTGAAATGCTTATGCACATTTTTTGGAGAGATGCTGGTAAGTAGTGAAAATAGTCCTGTGTGGTTGATCTTCAGATGTACTCTGAGAGATTTTTACCATTGATCCAAAGTAATGCAAGGTTAGACTTTCCACTGCCTTATGGCCTGTGTAATTATTTACACATTGCAAAGTGAGTTCAGAATGCTACCACATGGGACCAGTAGCATTTAGGACTTGCTTCAGGAACTCACAGTTGTGTGCACAAACCAGACTGCCTGTATGTTAAGCTTATGTCTTTCTGACCTGGCTTTGCAAAAGCAGTAGCAAAATCTGAGCCTAATTTTTCACCACCTTGCAGTTAACAAACATATTCGTTTGCACCTCAGTAAAGTATATGCATAATTCTTCCATTTTACTGGTGCTGCATCCATTACCCTCAGGACCATCCTCTTTGCAGGTATAAACTGACATTGCTGCATTGAAGCCAATGGATGTACTTTATGTCAGCTAAGTGTCTGGCCTTTAATTTGCGTAGTTGTAGCTGGCTGCACCAGATAAAAGGCAAAGGAGACTCAGATCCTGCATTTTCAACCCTGCACATATCTTTCATGACAGGACTTAATGCTAGTGCATTAAACAAGGAGCAGGCAACTACTGGAGGTTGGTGTCTGCTGCAGAGGCAATAGATGGGAGAAAGAATTCATTATTTGCTTTGCAAAATAGAAAGAGGATGAATGTACACAGAAATTACACTATATATTGATGCTTGAGAGCAATATAAATAACGGATAGCAAATACCATGGGACTGTTTCTCTCTGGCATTAGTCCAGTTTTATTGCAGTGCAACTCCCTTGCTTGCAGCAGAATTACACAAGTTGTAAAATTGGAGTAATGCAGTAAAGACTGATAATACACGAATGCAATAATCCAATTGATGAGGCAGCTGCAAGCCTGGGGGAAAAAAATTGTTTAAACAAAATAATTATCTGAAGATGCTAATATTTGAATGTGCTGTTGGGGAGTTTTCCAGTGAGCATCACTAAGGAACTCATAAAGGTGGAGTGTATATCCTGAAATATCAATCCATTTCTACTATATAGTGCAATCTTAGTTGGTTTTGTATTTATTTATATTGTTCAGATCCAAGGGATCCCTTGTAAAATATATTTGGTGCAATCATGACTTTTGTTTTCCTTTCCTGTTGAAAGTATATAAATATAAATATATATAAAAAGGAAACTGTTAAGATACTAAATGAGGAAACCTTGAATGACATTCAAGATCAGGATAAGGTCTGCCACTAACCACTGTCACCTGTCTCTACTAAAATGCACCATTTTTAAAGGATATTTGTTGTCCTTTTAAGTGGTTCTTTTTTTTTTAACCAAGATAATTTAGAGATTTATGAGGACTGTATGTAAATCTTTCTATCTTTCAGGAAGGCATGACCAAGGAAAAAGTGCTAACTGAATAAGTCACACAAAGAATGTAAATTTTGTACAGTACTAGACTGTGTAAATGAAGCTTGCTTGTAGGGGGGAAACTTTAAATAAAACTTTATGTACTAATTCAACTGTCTGCCATATTCCTACTTATAAAGTGTATGTATAAATAATATCTACATTAAATTCTTTGGAACTTTTTTTATCATGTAGATGTGTAAACTTTCTTTTATTTTGTGGTGCTACATAACAATCTCATTGTTTTCCAAGTGTCATTACTCAGTGCTTGTAAATGCAGTGTTGCAGTAAAATCTGAGTCTGTAGTGAGTCAGTCTTCCCCTGAGCACAGTGCCTGGCCTGGGCCTCCAGCAGGGAAAGCCCCTCCTGTGTGCCTGCTCTGACCACAGCAGTGATTGGACATCTGTGAAATGCCTCTGCCTTGTGCTGCTCCCTCTATTCCTCTGTCCCATGGTAAGGAACATGGAAAGGACACAGCTTTGTTAAATCCAGTCTTGCTTTGGGGAATTTGATGCTACTTATGACAACTTCACCCCACTTCAAAATGTCTCTCCTGTGGCAATTGACCATTCTAACTATGTGTATTTCCATTCTTGGAGGAGAATTGCTGGTGTGGGTGAGCAGTAGAGGAGCTGGGACAGTTCTCAGGCTGAGAAGACAAGACAAAGGCAGGAGGTTTCACCAGGAAGCAGAAGCATTATCAATACCAGTTACTATACCACATGCATTATTTATTCATGCATACCAACCTTTGTCATGGACCAGAACTTCTCTATGCAAACCAGGTGGGTGCACTGAGCAGACAGAAAGGTGGTCACTGACCCCCATGTAGTAGTCTGAGCTGTGCTGGGCAGTGGCTGAGAGCACAATGAAGGAGTCTGTTCTAACCAGTCCTAATCAGTCCTGTTCAGATCTTTTGTGAGGAAGGGAGAAGTGAGCTAGCCAGCAGCAACTACGGTAAGATAGCACAATGAACAGGATTGTTTCATTGATGAGTTTATTTCAGCAGAGGAGGGAAGGGAGATTTTTGCTTTATTTTTCAGTAATGTGGGAGAAGAAGGAAGAGGAGAAGCTGAAAGGAGTGGGCAGAGATACGATTTAGAAAGGAAGGGAATGAAGTGAGAAAAAGAGAGGTAAGAATGAAAGGACAAAGTAGAAAAGGAGCCTGTGAGAAGGTGGGAAGTTACTGTGGATCAAGGGCACAGAGAAAGTAAGAGCTAGAGTAGTGAGGGAAGCAAAGATGGTTTCTGAAAGGCACAAAGAAATTACAAGGCAGGTAATCTAAAGAGCAGAAGAGAAACATGAGAAAATGCAATCAGATAAACATGAAACTAAAAAGGCACTTGGTGATGATGCTGCTCCTAGTCAGCTAATCATTTTCAATGGTTTAGCTGTCAAGCAGAAGGATAAATCAGCAGAATACTTAGGTATTGCAGTGATCAAGCTTTCAATGCACAGACTTCAGCACAACAAAAACCGAAAGATGTTAATTAGTACCTCTCTGCAGTGCTTGGGCTGTGACAAGCACCCAGTTACAGCCAGTGCCTGTGGCAGGGGAGGAGAGCTGCTGCTCCTGGTTGGAAGCACGAAAAGAGCAGATGAGTTGTAATTCCTGGTCCCTGGTGGGCTGGAGGGAAGTGCCCTTTCCATTTCTGATCCTCTGATGAGAGTCATCTTTAGGAGCTGCACACCTGGGCTGTTCCATGATTCTTCTCTCTGCTGCCCTTCCTGCCAAACCTAAATCTCCATTTTGTCTTCAGCATGACAAACTTGCCTAGGTGCTTTTGCAGAACTGGGCCTGAAAAACAACAGAGCAATGAATGAAGCTATTTCCCTGGTTGTGAGCTCTGGTCCCATCCACTGCCGAGCAGTGTGAAAGGACTGGGTTGCTGCTGACCTGCAATGTGTACACATGCCCTTAAGAAAGGCAAAGATAATATGCTTTTCATTGATTATAGCACTGTCTTTGAAGGTACTGTGCATCCAGCTCCCAAAAATCTGACATTGTTTTCCTTCATGTGTTTGTCCCCTTTCCTGCTTTTAATATAATGATTTACTCTGCTAGCTGCATCTGTGAGCCAATTTCTGAGAAAAATTCATGCCAAACCTCATTATATATACTGGTTTCTATTGTATTATAATCACTTGCCAATATAGTACTCTAGTTGCCTTGCTTTTAAGGGAGAGGTCGTATTTCAATTTAAATGGAGCTTTCTGGGTACAGACAAAGGAGACAGCAATCCCAAACAGTGCTAAGAGGACGAGATGGTATTTGCCAACGTACAGACCGCTAGACAGGTTTAAGATACACATTCTAGTTTCTGTTGTTAGTGCAGCAGTGTAAAGGAGTCAGAGTTTCAGCCTCCCAGGTCCAGCCCAAGAAAGCAGTGATGGCAGTGCTGGAGGTCAGAGTGGTTAGTGGGAAGGAAAAGCACACTAATGAATTCTGGAGGGCTTGTAATGCCATAAAAGATTCAGTTAATCTGCAGCATAGATGTTGATCAGCGAAACTGAACCTAAGTCTCTGGACCTTGTCAGATGTATTCTGTGCATGTCAGTGTTCCACACCAATTACAGATTTTAGAAGATGCTCTCATGCAAAACTATGCACCCTAATATATAAGCCAGCTCAGATGTAACTAAAATTAAAATCTGACTGTGGCAAATCTCTGTGATCCTGATATATGAAAATCCAAATAAATGATTTGTTCCTAGAAATGAAAAATAACT